ACATTTTCTATGAAAATGTCAATCTAAGAATATCTAGAATTTGAGAAATGATATGTCATACTAAGTATAAGATTGTTACTTGATAAGGCGAATTTAACTCCTCTTTTTGAAGGATATCAATATTAATGTATTTTTTGATATACTTTCTCGCATTTATTATAAAAGCTATTATGTTTTAATTAATGTAGTAATTTTAGTGAAAGAAAGAGGTTGCTTGTTTATGAACAAGCAAAATAAATAAGACTTCAATATATATAGTAGGCTTACTAACCATTCAAATGGCATAATTTGTAATAAATGGCATAATATTAGGTTAATTGAATTTCTGCAATACCAATTTCATCTTGATCGATATATTTTATTATTGTTGTAAAAATGAAATTCAACTGCTAGAACATTTAAATAATAAACAACATGCTTAAAATCGTAAGTGGAGTAACTATATCAAAGTCTACTAAAAAATTACACAACATATGGATAACTAATAGTATCAAATTTAAGGATACCAACAAAATGATTAAAACGATTAAAATGATGGATATTAGTTTTAATCGAAGTATTTCGATACGCTAGGTATTCAGCCGCTCGATTTATTGTTGGATGGGTGTAGGTTATCATCGAGTTGTAGCTATTTTGATACTTTGTATAACTATCACTTTTTAGAGTTTTTTTAACGGATTCTTTAAAATAAAATAAAAACAAAAGTTATGGAGTAATATTTAGTATAGTTATGATAATTACTATATGTGAGTTTAGGAATTGGGGAAAATTTATCAAACTTTATTATAAAGAGCTCTGTAATAATATTAATAATTTCAATAAAATACGAATAATAAGATCAATAGTAAAAATAAAATAAAATAAAATAATAATAAATAATTATTATTGGTTATTATAAATTGCCACCTCTATATATGCCCTTGGTCGTAAGTATGCTATTTAGATTATTTTGTTAAAAATATCATATGAAATTAAAAATCTAATAGAGTAATAGTGAATTAATTTTCATTTATATTTAAACATAGAATATGTATTGCAGCTACAATGTATAGTACAAACACGTTAGGAGTTGGATGCATCGTCGTCACTTACAAAATAGTAATTTGTAAGATGAATTTGTAAGTGGCGTTGAGGATTTCATTACATTTTTATGTGCGGATTTGACATATACGGATGGTATTAAAATACGTTGTCCGTGTAATAATTGTAAGAACAAGGCATATAAAGATCCAGATGATGATCATATCGATGGCATCTATAAAGATAAAGGAGGACATAATGTTCCAGAGCATTATGATCTCTCCTAACACAAATGATGGAGGTTCCAACAGTTGGTATACCGCGGGAGCGTCTCACCTTGAGAATCCTCTTTCCAGGGCTTCTTCTTTTATTTATTTTTATTTCAATAGCACACTGGTGTAACCCGTGTTTAAAGAAATGTACCTCACATTGATAAAATGTAACTTGAGGCAAGTTGAAATGTAAGGTGTATAATACAGAATATAGAATGTAAAACATTGATTTCAATGTAAAGAATGAAAAAAATGAGCCTAATTGCCCAATAATTTTACATAAATAGAGTATACGTTTTGTTTTTAATATCAGAACCATTAATTAAAAGCGATTTTTAATTAAAAAAAGATCATTTTTGTTTGAATTACAAGGATTTAATTATTTGTTGTGTAAATCACATTGTTTTGTGGTGTAACTCGCATTATGACAAATGTAAACCACGTGTAAGCAAGATGTATTTTTTTTAGACAAATCCAAATGTAACTCACGCATAAAAAGATGTAACTCACACACATGAACATGTAACACCGTGTATTATCACATGTAACCGGAGGGAGAGATATGTATATGTCAGCTAGTAGGAAATTATTTATCTCAACACAAATTTGGGAGGTGATAATTAACAATGAATAATATGTATATGATATGTAATCTGATGCTTCCACAGTTCTAATCCTTCTGAGTACATCCATTGATGCCAATAAACAATTCGTGTTGGAGATCAGTGGAGGGAATGGAAGTGATTTTTGTGTTTGGCTAAGTTTGTACAGGCCAGAGGTCAGATTCATGATTGTCTGGTCCTAACAGCCTCGGTTGATGAGATCGATTGGCCTTCGATTGAGCAGAATATGATCGCATGATTGCTTTGGTTAGTGTTGGCTTGCCGGATTTGGTGCTCGTCGGCGCTGCATAAACAACTCTGCCTCTGTGGGGTGAAAAGTAGATGTATTTTTTTTTAAAATAAACGACACCGTTTGGGGATCAATACACCATGTGCACGGTATGCTGATCCCACAGTATAAATTGTGAGGTCCCAACGATCCATTTTCAGAAACAGCTACAAATGGCTCTCTAGATCATTTTTTCCATGTGCTTAAATCTGCAAACCGACCTCTTTACGGATGGCACTATGTGCTCACAACTGCAATTTGCGTTAAGATTGATGAGCATCAAGGCTAACCCCCTCACTGATTTGAAAAAACAATGAACGAATTTAACAATATTTTTCAAAAGGTAAAATGTTAATACATCAATAAATAAATGTAGTAGCAATATAGCATGTGACTATTGTAATGTTTGACGTTTAGGATGTTTTTACTTGGATTGTAATTTGTTGGTCTGGTCTGGTTTCTTTGTATTTTTATAACTACGCAAGTCTGGCCTGGTCTGGTCTGAGTCAAATTACAGTCCAAGTAAAAACATCCTTATTAATGAAAATACATCTAGTACTGGTTGACATTTACTAAGATAGGAATCGCCTTGATAAGGAATATGGATTTTTGGCATGATATGGAACATCTACCGATTCTTCGTAAATAGGATCTCCTTGAGTTTAGACCTAAGATAATGAATTCATTTAGAGATTTCTAAAAAAAACTACAAGGCGATTGGTGAGGCCCCATAGAAAAAAAGATACTCTATATTTGGATTGAAATGCTATGATACACCTTGTTCATGTATACATTTTTACGTCATATCAATCGTAAAAGGTGATCATTTAAGTCAATTGACCTAAATGTGACATCATTTGGTAGTTTGTTTTATTATTTGGCATTTTTTAGTTTTTGATCTCCTTTTCTTTTTATCGTCTTTCCTTTTTTCTTTTCATTTCTTTTCATCTTTCTTGGCCTGTTGCTCCTTGGTCAACAACCCACATGACTACACGTCTAAGTTTTTTCTTGTTTCTTTTCCTTAGTTTTAAGTTTTTCCCAAAAAGAAGACGTAGGTTAGCGATATACATTGACGTACGATTTCGGCTGGAATTTTGTGCACCGGCGGTACTTGCTAGAAAATCCAGCCTTTGGCGTCACTTACGCCTTCCCGCTTTACTTTCTTTGGTTTCCCAGAGACTGAATGGTTGTTGGGGGCATTTTGGTCCACCTAACCCCTGCTCTACCAATCGGATGGCAGGTAGCAACAATTCCGGTGTCTGACGGTGATGGCAGGAAGCATTTCACGACACCGGTAGTTTCCCAACTGGTCTCTCTATCTCATTTTTATTCATTTTACCCCTTTGGTTTTCTTTCGTCCCTCTAATTCTTTTTGCAGAAGGTATCATTTATGTATTGCATGTATTTTTTATTTTTGCAAATGTGAAATGAGAGATATATGAAATGTGAGCATGTATATACACACACATTTGATGCATACAAGGAGTTATGAAACAAGTTTGGGTCAAAGAAAATGAAATAAGAAGAGAAAATAAGGAAATGGAAATGAAAAAAAGGAAAAAAAAACACATATGTATAAACTGAGTTGACTTGCCTATATATATTTAAAATGCCACTTTTACTCAATTAGTAGGTAATCTTAAGGTCATCTAATTCTTAAATGACTGTTTTCAGAGAGTAAACATATGAATCTGATACTCATTAAAGCATGTGTACCTAATTGATGATTTTAAGATAGTAAAAGGGCTTATTGATCATTTCCCAATAAAATAATAAAAAGTAGTGACTTATTAGACGGAGATGTGAGGGCGGCTCGAAGATGGAAATGGGATCTGGCAATTGGGTAGGGCGGCTCCCGATTATCGATTATCGGCTAATCGACGTTTCTCCTTTGGAACGAATTAGTTGGACGAAGGGGACCAGCCATAGAAGATGCTTTAGATGCTCGCAATTGGGATCTCAGAGTCGCAAGCAAAGGCCGGCTTTCAACCGTGAACGAGTCAGGCCTCCAGTCGTCTGGCACCAATCAGGGAAGCGAGACACGGTCTTCTCCGGCTACCAGGCGCGGCGGCCCTTTCTGCAGAACTGCGAACAAGACTTTGCTGGGCGGACTCATGATTCATGGTTTGGAGGTCGTCCCCGGATGTGGCCTCGGAAACGGTGGGTTCGGAAATCTTCAAAACCACAACAGAGAAACACAAGTGACTTGGTGTGTGGTAAGCAGTTGTTGAATCAGGCAGAAACGGGACGAAACTTTGGGACAGATAAGTTTGTTGTCTTGATTGAAAGTAAATTTTTCCAATTTAAAGTTCTGGACTGCAATAAGCTTCGTATTTCTGAAACAAAGAAAGGAATTACCTCTGCAATTGATTTTGATGTTACTGGGATTACATGGTTAAAGAGCTCCATGCTCAAGATTTTTGGTGATAACAGGTCTTCCGTTAAATTAGAGCTGAATAAATCACTTATAGTTCTCTATGATGCAAATCACTTTGGTGGCTTTATCCGAATCATTGAAAAGGGAAAAGATTCTTTATTTATTCCAGAGGGACGGAATGGACAAGGGATTGATCTTTTTCTTAAAGGAATTACAAGGGCAATTGATTTGTTGAAGGAAATAGGTGAAAAAACATTAGCACTTGAACTTATTTCAAGTAAGAATGATGAGATGATTGGCAATAATGTATTAGAATTTTTGCCTAATGGGAATAACTATGAACCTGAAACTTCCATTTCGGGCGCTTTACTACAAGCTGATATTGAGTTTTTAAATTCTTCCCATCATGCTTTGGATTTGGTTACTTTAGATGAGGTGCAGGGCGTTGAACATACTCCCGATTCTGTTGAAAATCTTAAGGAATTCTTTCAGGCAACCTTAACAAATGGGGTGGAATCACTCTCTCATTTTCTACTCCGTGAATTTGAGAGACTTCTCGTCTCTACTTTGGATAACCTTGACAGTTTGAGATTGAAAGCCACTATTGAAGGGAAATCTTCTAGGACACAGAAGAATTCGGAGCATGTTGATAAGAATGAGAAAGGAGGGTATTACAATGCTTTAAGTGATCTTGCGGTTTCTGATTGGGACTATGCAAATACAGGTTTCACTGGCAATGATGAGTTCGAAAAGGCTTTTGGAGAATCATGCTCTACTCTTTCAGGTGATGAATTCCTTGGTCATGTCTCAGAAAATGAGAAGAGGGTTCCTATTTCGACGGTGAGTGATCTTTGGGACTATGATGCAAATGAGGTTATTTGTCAAAAAGCATTGCTTGTTACACGAGAAAATTGTTTACCCACTCAAAACTTGAATACTCAAAAGAGAATGTACAAAAAGAAGAATCAGAGATCACATCTTATGAGGACAAGATCTCAAGCACGAGCGGGTCTTTGAAGACTATTCTGAGGGTTGTGGTTTTTTACACCGGGTTTTTAAGGAGGGTTTTTTTTCTTACTCTGGGTTGGGCATCTCTCTTATTTGTTCGTTTTTATTTACTTTATTTTCTTTTCTTAGCTTTATTTTCTTTTCTTAGCTTTATTGTACTCTCGAGATTCCTTTTAATAAAATTTCCTTATTAAAAAAAAAAATACTAATTAAAAAAAAAAAAAAAAGTAGTAAACGCACTCTTGCGGCTTTATTGTTACTATAAAACTTTTGACTTCCTAATATTGTATTGTATTCATTTATTCTTTAGAAAAGTCAAGTTATATTTATATATGTGTGCGCACTCGCACACGTATCCACCAACATAGTTTAATTGTCTTCTATGTGTTTGTTCATAATTCCAAACTCGCTCATACATTTTATGGGTGGGCATGATCCAATGACAAATATACATTTAAATACCTAATTATTTTAATTGGCGGGGGCACCCATCTGATCCATTTCTGTAAAAATGTATTATAAATGTGTATACTATTATTCTACACAGTATCACACTACTAAATACTTGGTATGGTCTTTACAATCTTGTAAACATGAATGGGGGTAAGGTTGATTCTAGTATAAAAAATGTTGGTGTAATATATTGTTGTCTGAAGATTTACCACCCGCACTACATTGTTTGTCTTTCGTTTATCTCCGTCAAGCACGTGTCTCCATCCTCCTGTTAGTAGAGTCTGGTCCACTGAAGTTGTACCACATGCACTTCATTTTCATTCAACATGATTCAGCCCATTATGTTAAGACCCGAGGTTCCACCATAAAAGGTCAACCCAATAGGAGGAGCAGTTCATGTCTTAATATAGCTCTTCGTTGATTCAAACAATTCCGGTGTGGGACTCTAACACCCCTCCACACGACCAGACACTTCGTCTGAATCGTGCCGTCATTCATTTTTTTGTCGGCTCGTCATTGTCATTTTTTATATTCGTGTCATCATTTTTCATAAGGGGCCCATACCATGGATCGATTTGGCTCTGATACCATGTAAAGACTCGTGGTTCCATCCTAAAAGGTCAACCTAATAGGAGGAGTAGCTCATGTCTTAATATAGCACTTCTTTGATTCAAACATTTCCGGTGTGGGACTCTAACACATTACAATTTACAACACCAAAAAAATCATATTATTAGCCGTTGAATCTGAGCGCTCCTATTCCTCACGTGCCTTTTCTCCCTCATCTTCTCTTTGATGTCATTTATTATTATTATTATTATTATTAATTTTTTTGTTTGTTTTAGTGATAATGGCGATGAAATTGAAAGAAACTTTCTTTTCCACAATGCAAAAAGTTTAGATGAACCACTGTCTGCCATACTACCCTACACATTGTGTTGCTTTTGTGTAGTCTTTGGTTTTGAAGGGAAATAAGATTTCAATGGCTCCTGTAATGACAAATAAGTTTTGCCATGAGTCTATTGCAAGTATTTGTAAGTTGTTTATCATATTGAAAATTTTCCCTTTAATTTTACTTAAATGGTTATACGACATTTACCAAACTGATTCTTCATTTGGTCTGCTAGATGTGATATTTTTCTTTTTGGACTTTTGTTTCCCTTCTTACTCTTCATGTAGTATGAATTTCTGGGTCAAGGACTTCATTTTAATAGTATGACTCATGTGTGATGTTTCACGTGGAGAGTGAAATGGTGTCCATTAAGTGTTTTGTAAATTTGCTTGAATGCCTTCAATGTAATATGATGACTATTCATATACAGTTTTGTTTTATTATACGTCGAATAGATAGAAACAAGTTATCATGCTCTAGGCAAACAAATAAGTATGTATTCAAATACTAATAGAAAACCAAAAATAAAAAGACATTACATTCTTTGATTTATAATTTATTTGTTTATTTAGGGATTCAAAAATCATAACAATCCATCAACAAAGTGCGAGATAACATGAGCCGACATGAGAGATTGACATATAAAACTATCATCAACACAGTATATATGGCAACCTAGGAGCCTAACTTGGCAAGAATTTTTGCAAACATTGTAAATCTCTGTGTTGTTTTGTGAGCATAACATATAGAACGCTTCAGGGTTGCATTCTTGAGTGCAGTAAATGTCTTCACCCACAAATTTTTCAAAATTGTTTCCCAGAAATAGAATACCAAATACAACGAGGGAAGTGAAGAAGATAATTTGATTGGATGAAGCCATAACTGCCATATTCCCAAAAGTGACGTAAACGAACTTGCGATCAAGAAAGTACATATTATGTGTTGAGATAAAAAAGTCTATATGTTTTTAATTTAAAGGTACAATTGATTAAAGATCTTGGGGGAGGATCCCCTTCATGGCTGCATCTCTAGGAGATTATGGCCACAGTTAGAAGAGCTAAAATTACAAATTCTGTCATGAAACAAAACCCAGGTGGAAATTTTAGTATTTTTAACAATGGAAATAATGAATTTTCAACTTTTGCACCTTATGAATTAATTTAACAAGTTTATTGTCATTAATAAAGTTGGAAGTGAATAATGCATGAAATGGTTATGAAAATAGTCTCTTCAAAACTTAGCATTTCAGTTATACAATTTAAAAGGTTTCACGAATACAATGAGATTGTGATTTGTGAAACAAATTATTTAATTACGCGCCTCATGAGTACTTATCAGAAGATCTCATATACATTTTTCATGTTATTGTTATCATGCATATAATTACATGTGTTTTTAGAGTTGTCAAAACCTGGGAGGGACCTTATAACAACCAAGCTTGCACCACTGATTCAGTCCACTACAATGAAAAAGAACTTTTGCCAAATGCCCTGGTTCTTTATAAAACTAAGATCTAGAAATCTTCAAGGCCTTTATCCCAATTGATTCACCGCCACATATATATGAGTTTTTTTTTTAAAATTATTTCTACATAAGTTCATTGCATTCAAAGAAGGAAGGCAAATGTTTTTTTATTTAAGTCTAGCTTGCTTGAACTTCTTTTATGTGATCATATACTATAGTTGGTTTATAGTTTAAGATTTAGCCAATCATGTGATATTTCTTATATTCTACATAAACCTTATAGTGATATGGATTTCATTCTCAAATTAAATTTCATTTTCATCAATTAATTACCAACGGTCTTTAAATTAGGGAAAATAAATCTTCAATTAACCAATTATAGGAGGAACCATATCATTTTCTGAACGACGTAGCTGAACTTTTTTAAAAAATCCCCTCATCACCCAATTCAACAAATTTAATGGTATGTTGCTTCTACCAACTAGGGAAATTCCATTTTTTGCATCCTCTTTCATCCTTTCCCTAATTAATAGGTGACAACATCTAAATTCATAAATATAGTCCGTAAATTTGGTTTAAAAATAACAAACAAAATATGAGAATGTAAATAATAATAAGAAAAAATTCCACTAATATTACTCATGCAGAAGTGAGTAAGTGACCGATGGACAAAACGTGACCTCATAAATTTTACTTCATAGCTACTATGATATAGTGAATATGATGTAAACTTTGAACATACTTATAGTCACTAAAAGTTAATAAAGTCCATGGTCGGCCCTGTATGTTTAAAAGCCCCGGGCGGCAAAATTTAATGAGTCTAATCTTTAAAAAATTGTAAAACTTTTTCATCTAAACTAACATGCATACTAATCATAATAATAATAATAACCATTCAAAAAATCAAAACATTTATAAAAAATTCTATCTATACTAATAATATTATAGTATTAGAAATTACTTCAAATAGGATTAAAACTATGGGAAAAAACTCAAAATAGGACTTGCTATGTTTTTATTCCAAAATAGGACCATATTAGTCCTATTGGAAACATATATATTTTTTATTCCATTATTACCCCTCTTTTAAATATAAGGAAAAGATAGTCAAAAGTCATAATTAAATGTTTAATTCATAATAAATTCAAAAAAATTTCAAAAAATTATAGAAAAATGATTAAAAAATTAATAAAAATGTTTTAAAATAAAAAAATAAAAAACTACTAAAAACTGCCATTTTTTCTTCTAAAAATGCCAAAAAAGACATATTTCTCTTTGAGAATGCCACCATTTTCATTTTTTCCTGCCATAAATATGGCAATCGTAATGATTTTGGCATTTCCCCCCTTGGTGAATGGAGGTGCTGGTGCTGGGGCGGCAGAGGCGGTGGTGATTTTTTTGGCGTTTTTTATTTTTTATTTTTATTTTTTTTACTTTTAATTTTTTAAAATTTATTATTATATAAAATATTTTATTAATTTTTTTGGTATTGTTTTACATTTTTTTATTATTTTTATTTTATTTTATTATGAACTAAAATATTCCAATAGCTATAAGAGTATATTTGTCCAAGACACACATAATTAGTCCTATGAAAATATAGTTTATTTTTTTTATCCTATTTGTGAAAAGTGAGTGACCTTTAGCCCTATTTTGATAATTAACCCTTATAGTATTGGTGGTCCTTATTTAGGAAGGAAAAACTGGTGGTCCTGTTTGTGTACTTTATTACCAATGTTTTAGTCTTATTTAAATAATTAACTCTAATGTTGTGATCATTCTGAATTGTTTTATTTTTAGTAGTTAAATCATTCTTTTTCCATGAATTCTCATCCTAAATATATTTAGTATTAGACTTCTTTACACAAACAAAATTTCTATTGAACCATTTTTAATTAGCACAATTTTCTCTAATTTTTTCCTCTTTTTTCTTTATCATATCCAGATTCAATCATTTTTATTACACAGTGAAATTAATTAAATTTATCAATTTAATTATAGTTGATTTTTTTTAGAAACAAAATAAACAAAGTATAACACAACACTCAATAGATAAAAACCAACAATTAAGAAATCAAACAATCAACTATGAATGAAAATAATTAATAAACGAATCAAATAAACATATAAGACAAATCTGCTTCCAAGACGATTTTTTTAATCAAATTTTAGATTGTGTTTAAAAAATTTGAGTTTAAAATTTAATAACTAAGTCATACAAATAAATTATTTGAAAAACTGGCGACAAAATATGCATAAAAACACAGCTTTTTTTCAATAATTTATTTAACTAACTTATAGATTGTATTTTTAACTGATTTGTTTTGGACGTAATTTACACTTCATAAAGAAAATTTC